GGGGCTCGAACCCGCGCCACACAGCGTAAGGTCCAGAAGTATTGACCATTCGACCCACCACCGGGTCGCGCTAACTGGCTCAGTCGCTTAGTGGTTGATGCTAATCGATTATGCGTGTACACATCCCAGCGTGGTTATGTTAATCACAACTAATTCCTGTGAGCTGGTTATTGGGGTTCAACGGAACTTGTCTTCCCCTTTAAACGTCTCCCCCCACGCAGTTATATATAGCATGTGAAACGGAGCAGTGACTTGCCAAATATTGCATCACATATTAACTGTAAACGCAGGGACGAAGGAACGAAGTAATGCTGGCTTACAGTTACTAATAAGTTTGTTAGGATAACTCTCTCTTTGTTTCACCACTTCGATAGCTGCAACAATTCAAGTAACTTCTCAAAAACCTAATTTTATCATGTTTAATAGTTGAAAAGTGGCTGAGAAAGAAAATTATTATACATGAAGTGTGCTCGGGTCGGGGTGTCCAAGGTAAGCCTTATACAGAAAAGCTTATGACGGATTTTTAAAATGTTGTATCTCAGATGAATGTCGGTTAGCTGACGAAGAGCAGGTGAAAAAATGTGTACATAGGCACTTATGCCCTTCGTGCTTTGTATATTTCAGCTATTTACCCTTTTCAAGTTGCAGTAATTAATTCTAACCGTAATTGGCTCGCGACACCATTCATGCATAAACTTGTACGTCTCTTGGTCCTTCCCAGACTTGTCGGAGGCAGTCGGTTTCCTTGAATTATTTTTCAATCATAAGGTCTCCATTACATTTTATGCAACTCTATGGCGACACATGACAGTCATCACAGTGATACTTCAACTTTAGCCACTTAGATTTTATGTTGTAATGGGGTTACACATACACTGGTAATAGGGGTGCGTCACACCAGATGGGCATGGTGTGACCACACTCAAACAAGAAGTTGGGACGGGGCTGGATAGCCAGTAGCTATACATGTATGGTAGCGGACATCTTAACTCTACAACTGTCTCAATTGGTTTTTGCAGGTTTAGGAGGCCGCGCAATTAATTTTTTTATTTTTTTCGTGAATTTTTTCAATCAAGATCATCTAAAACAAATTGCG